ATGGGTCCTATTATCTTCTCTTGTAATATCTTTTCTTTTCTTGTTGGCTAATGGGCCTGTTATTTCTTTTTGTTTAATCTCTTTATGTTACTACCTAGCTGGCCGCCCACTTAAGGGCATACTTGTCATTACTCTAACATTAATTCTTAATAAAAAAGGATTAGAGGAGAAAGGGAAGATAATTCGAATATTCTTCTTCTTCCTTCTCTTTTCGCCATCTTCTTCTCTTGTATTGATGCTCTTACTTCTCTTCTTCCTTTTTTTTCCCTCTAATCTTCAAATTTACACCTAATATTTGAGGACTGATTTACAACTCATGATAAATGACATAATTAGTTTTTTCTTTGGTCAAGAAAGCAATGAAAAAGAAATTACGTGAGTGCCTAATGTTTAGAAAATTCAGCTGTTTATAATTGTTTCTGCTCTATTCTTTCTCAACTAATTAACTAAATTTTTTCAAGTCCTCTTCACAGGAACTTGTATAGAGTTTGTCTATCCAATACTCCCAAAAAATAAACTAAATTAGAAAAATATTAGTTGATTTTATGCATTTCAAACAGAGCAAATAAGCAAGCTGTGCAATTCAGGATTGAGGTTACAATATAATTTTGAGAGACTATCTATATAAAGCAACCCCATCAAAGACCACGTCAAACTCCTTTATCTAGATAAATACCTCTAATGAGGAGCTGCAACGTTGATGCATGGTATGGACAATGCTGAGGAAATGAGACACCACCGCTGGTAAATTTTCAAGGATATTTGGTTGGGCTTTCATAGCACTAATCACCTGGAGAATCATAACCACTGAAACAATTAGGAGAAAAGGGAATAGAACAGCATTCAAAAAAGAAAATACGATATGTCAATGTAGTAGATAACATACTAGTGACTGGAGCGATTTAAATGACCTAGGTCATTCTCTCATACCAAGTGTAATGTATGTGCAAAGGGAAGCTTCCAGTCATCTGATGTGAAGACTCGATATATAAGACAGACCTAGGCAACATACCCCCAACCAGTGGTAAAGCAGCAGAAAGCAGATCTACAGATTAGATTTGTTCGAAGTTAGGGGTGCACCTTGGGTGGGCTGGACCATGTCTAAGGTCAATCCAGGCCTAAGGCCCAAGCCCAAAGTCAAGCCCACCAAAGGTGCACCCCTAACTTATTTTGTATCAGTAATATAACCATCAAATAAGAATATTGCATGTAGTCAGGCCAGGTTTGGGCTGGGCTAGGGCCAGGCTAAGATCAGGCCGGACTTGGGCTACCTAAGGGTTAGGCCTGGGTCCATCCCAAAAAATTAAAAAATAAAAATAAAAACTCAAATCTCTGCACAAGGACCGAAAATCCAAGTCCAGTCCATGTAAAATTTCAGGCTTGGTGGGTTTGGGCTCAGGTTGGGCTGCCTAAGTTGCACCCCTGTGGGTGAAGATAATTGTGGCTTTTCCCTAGTTGCTTTCTTTTGTTCTGGTATGTTGTGAAATATTGTTAAAAGAGACTTAAGAACTTAACTATATCAATTTGATTAGGAATTTAGGTTCTTGGCTGTTTTCATGAGCTCTCAAACATAGGATCCAGCTGTTCTACAGCCATACAATTGTTAAGAGGAATCCAAGTGTTAAAAACCCCTTCCAATAATGCAATCCTTCACCCCACCTAACAACATCCAGACCCCAACACAGCCCCTTTCCAATTAATGGTGGAGATGAATAATTTTGGCAGGTGATGTGAGACATTCTTTTGGAGAAGGGCTAAGGGTAGAGTAAAAAGCATATGGATAGAAGGTGAGAGGGTGAGGAACTAAGATGGGAGGGAAAATGGAGGGGATGGAGTTCGTGCAGGCAGGTCAGTGGAGGAGATCCTTGAAGATAGAAGCAAAAAATCTCCTGTTCGAAGAGATGAGAA